GCTCTTATTTCACTGCAGTCCCAGCCTCCCCACTCTATCCCGGGTCACTGCCCCCTCCCCCCACCTGAAGGCTCTTATTTCACTGCAGTCCCAGCTTCCCCACTCCATCCCGGGTCACTGCCCCCCCCCCCCAAGGCTCTTATTTCACTGCTGTCCAGTCTCCCCACTCCATCCCGGGTCACCCCCCTACCTGAAGGCTCTTGTTTAACTGCTGTCCAGTCTCCCCACTCCATCCCAGGTCACCCCCCCACCCGAAGGTTCTTGTTTAACTGCCGTCCAGTCTCCCCCACTCCATCCTGGGTCACCCCCCACCTGAAGGCTCTTACTTCACTGCAGTCCAGTCTCCCCACTGCATCCCGAGTCACCCCCCACCTGAAGGCTCTTGTTTTACTGTAATCCAGTTTCCCTGACTCCAGTGCAACTCACCTCCCCACCTGAAGGCTCTCGTTTCAGTGCAGTCCAAACTCTCCACTCCATCCTGGTCACCCCCCTACCCCCACCTGAAGGCTCTTATTTCACTGCAGTCCAGTCTCCCCCACTCCAGCCCAGGTCAACCCCCACCTGAAGGCTCTTGTTACACTGCAGTCCAGTCTCTCCATCCCAGCCCAGATCATCCCCTCCCCCACCTGAAGGCTTTTGTTTCACTGCAGTTCAGGCTCCCTATTTCAGCCTGCATCACCACCACCCCCCACCCTAAGGCTCTTATTTTCCTCCTGTCCAGTCTCCCCACTCCATCCTGGGTCACCACCACCTAAAGGCTCTTGTTTTCCTGCTGTCCAGTCTTCCCCACTCCAGCCTGGCTCTCTCTCATCTGGCTTCAATCTCTACAGATCCATCTTACCTTTAATACTGTACATGACATTAAAAATACTCTCAGTGTAACATGAAATAGAAGAATATTTTGTTTACAATATTCTGCACATTCTAGCTAATGTAGTAAGCTAAGATAAGGAAATAGGAGCCTTCAATATTGGAAAGGAGGAGAAAAACACTGTTTACTAATGATATGCTTATCTTCTTAGGAAATTTAAACAGATAATTAGAAAACTGTTAAACCAATAAGCACTCATTAAGGTCATCTGGTTTCAAAATATCCAGATGAAATAAACCATAGGCATTATTATGCATAGTTATGTATCTATACTTCTTTACACACTGGAAACTATCATTTACAAAACACAATTAGAGAAGAGATCCTGTAGATTCTTTGTGTGTGTGTGTTTAGATCTTTTTAATTATTTCACATTAATGTAAGGATATAAACAGTCAGGTCACAATATTTGAATTTATTCAAGAGGTAGAATCCCTCTTGTAGTGTGCCTGTTCAGTGGGAGCTCCCAAACCTCCCTTCCCCCTTTCACATTCCTCCCCCCAGCTCAAATATAAATAAGTTTTTCTCCTGTGTAGGTGGGAATTAGATCATCTGGCTTCATATTAGTATTGAGTACATTGGATACTTGCTTTTCCATTCTTGTGATACCTTACTGAGAAGAATGTGTTTCTGCTCCAACCAGGTTAATACAAAAGATGTATAGTCTCCATCTTTTTAAATGGCTGAATAGTATTCTGTGGTATGTATATACCACAGCTTGTTAATCTGTCCCTGGGTTGGTGGGCTTTTAGACGGTTTCTACATTTTGGCAATTGTAAATTAAGCTGTGATAAACAATCTAGTGCAATTTTCTTTATGATAAAGTCATTTATTTTCTTCTGGGTAGATGCCTACGAGTAGGATTGCAGGGTCAGATGGGAGGTCTAATTTTACTTCTTTGAGGAATCTCCATACTTCTTTTGAAAGAGGCAGTATTATTTTGAAAGAGGCAGTCTGACCAACAGTGTAAAAGTGTTCCCCTTTCTCCACATCCGCACCAGCATCTGCAGCTTTGAAACTTTGTGATGTGGGCTAATCTTACTGGGGTTAGGTGATATCTCAGGGAGGTTTTGGTTTGCATTTCTCTGATGATTAGGGACGAGGAGAAATTTTTCATACATTTGTTATCCATTTGTCTTTCTCAGAGAAGTTTCTGTTCAAGTCTCTTGCCCAGTGACAGGTGCAACTTCTGCTTGTTTTCTGTTGATTAGAGTTTTCTATAGATTAAAACTTTGTCAGATTCCTAACATGCAAATATCTTTTCCCACTCTGAAGCTTGTCTATTTGCTTTTATTGTTGTGTCCTTACCTGTGCAGAAGCTTTTCAGCTTAATTAAATTCCATCTATTTATTTTTGTTACTGCAATTGCCCCAGAACTCTTCATAAAATCTTTCCCCATGCTGATGTCCTCAAGAGTTTTTCCCACACTTTATTCTAGGATTTTTATCATTGAAATCTTGAGTTTTGTAAGTGGTGAAAGTTGCAGGTCCAGTTTCAGTCTTTTACATCCAGTTCTCCCAGCAAAGAGTGGGAGTTTGACTTTCTCCACATACATGTGGATGCCTTTTATTTCCTTCTCTTGCCTGATTGCATTGGCTAGAACTTCTAGGACTATTTCGAATAGTAGTGGATGGTGATAGTGGACATCTTTGTCTGGTTCTAGTTCTAAGTGGAAAAGCTATCCCTTATCCTAGGGCTTTCAGTTTTGCTCCATTCAGTACGATATTAGCTGTGAGTTTGTCATAGAAGGCTTCAGTCAGTTTAAGAAATGTGCTAATGGCTCAGCACCTGTGGCTCAAGTGGCTAAGGTGCCAGCCACATACACCTAAGGTGGCGGGTTCGAATCCAGCCTGGGCCCACCAAAACAACAATGACGGCTGCAACCAAAAAATAGCCCAGAGTTACGGCGGGCACCTGTGGTCCCACCTACTTGGGAGGCAGAGGCAGGAGACTCACTTGAGCCCAGGAGTTGGAGGTTGCTGTGAGCTGTGGCACCATGGGGGACAGCTTGAGGCTCTGTCTCAAAAAAAAAAAAAAAAAGAAATGTGCTACTTATGCCTATATTCTTAATTTTCTTGTTAGAAAAGGATGCTGAATTTTATCAAATCCTTTTTCTGCATCTATTGAGAGGATCATATGGTCTTTGTTTTTGCTTCTATTGACGTTGTATATTACATTTCTGGATTTACATATGTTAAACCAGTTTTGCA